GGTTTCTGTACATGAATTCGTCAAGATAGCTGTAAATCATCGTGTTTCGTGACTTATTGAATGCCGGTGTCAGACAACTCTCAGAAACTGTCAATGTCCAGCTCTTACTACTCCGGACCCCACGCTGTCTCTGGAGGACTTTCAGAAAAAAGTTGTATTAGCCAACGCAAAAAAACCAGAACGCAGACTGGCGACTTGAGAATCCCTTATTCTTACGCCAACATATAACCAACAATAAGGTTATTATATACAAGGTCTAAGAATAAATGTTATAAAAATAAATCACGATAATACTTCTGATAGTTTTTGTCTTCTACCGAACAGCGAACGATGACCCCTGGATTGATGACTCCCGCGAAAAACATAGAGTTGGGTTTGAGCAAACAATCATGAATTGATGGTTCAATCTTCAGCTATATTTACAGCCCGTATCCTCTCTTATAGGTGCCATGGAATTTTTTGAGTCCCATAGAAATGATGAAAGAAGTCGTCAGCATTAATGACCACATTGCGAATAAACGCTGAGAATGACTGTCGGCCACACGATTTCTCCCTTCCAATGACACACTCCATTACCTCGCTAAACCAGTAATGAGGCTTGAAAAGCGGAAAGGTTGGGCATGAGGCTAGGAAACTCATCCTGTAAAAATTAACACTGCTACAGAAGCTTCAAGCCTCTAGCATGGAGGCCTATGTTCCACTGGGAATGTGAGGGAAAAAGCAAACATGTTCTCTCTGGCATGTCACCCAATCTCCAAAAAGTGAAAGAATCACCGGCCTTTGATCCCAGGTTAAAGTTCGAGCGTGACCTTAATTTGGTCAAGCCACTCTTAGATAAGTTACATCAAACAATTATATCAGGCATAAACACAAACACATATATAGAATCGGCAGAAGGCCTGACAGCAAATCAGCCGTACGTCGTCCCAAAGTCGTACTACACTACAAAGATGTGAGGAATGGCCGTTCTAAGCAAATCTGAAAATCCTAAAGATTCTGCCATATATTTCCGCGCCGACTTTTGCCTGGAAAAAGTGTCAAAAGATAGCCTGCGGCCCTAGAATTAAGCGAGCGACCCCGAAACGGCGAAAAAAACCAGGATGAAAGGTTCTCATTTTAAAAGAGTCTGTCAATGTAGTTGAAGATTGAACGATCAATTCATGGTTGTTTGCTCAAAACCAACTTCCCCAATTTTTGCGGAGGCATCAATACGACAGTCATCGTCTCATCGGTCGCTGTTCAGAAAGAAGGCAGCAGAAAACCATCAGAAGTAATATTGTGATTTATTATTGTAATATTTTTCCACAGACCTTAGTTGTAACATTGTTTACATGTTGGTGTTACCATAAAGAATCCTCGAGTCACCAATTGGTGTTTTGGTTTTTTCGTCCGTTATTACTAAGCGTTTCTGAGAAACTTCAAGGAACAGGGTGGGCCCGAGCGTAGCAAGAGCTGGGCATTAACGGTTTACGAGACGTGACTGACAGAGTCCGAAGTTTGATAATCCCGAAGCACGTAAGTGTAGACCACGGACTTGACACACTGAGTTAACAGATTCCTACACAAATGCAGGCGGCTTGGTGAACAAAATTACTGATCTGGTTAACATGATTTTCTCCGTAATTCTGGATGTGATTATCATCACAAAGTCATGGATTACAGCCGATGTCACTGACAACGAAGTTAACCTGCCAAACTTCGAAGTGCACAGGGTGGACCGACTAAACCGCAAAGGATGTGGCGTAGTCATCTACCTCAAGAAATGCTCAACCGTGCGTAGTGTCGAAGCACTCGCTCACGAAAGTGAGTCGTGCGAACTTCTACGCTGCAGAATTAAATGCATAGGCCAAGAGATTGACTTCATTACTATGTACCGCAGTCCTGACTGCATTGAAGATGACTTCTTAATAGAGAAGCTAGGCTCCTGGACTTCAAAATGTTGAAGTCTCGTAGTTGGTGATTTCAACGCTCAAACAACTGACTGGACGAGCTTTACAACCCCATTTTTAGTCAACTCCTTTGATCATATACTGCTGGAATCTAGTATATCGCTAGTCCTAGTCCAACATATCATTAAGCCCACGCGTTATGACTCACAACACTCCTCCTCAACTCTGGACCTAGTGTTCTTCCACGGTGAGAATGAGGATCGCATACAACATTTTCCTGCTTTAGGAAGAAGTGACTATGCTATGTTCACTTTCAAGTTCACAGCAACGGCAGCAAGGGCCAAAACCCCATCTCGACCAAACGTTTGGAAAGTTGATATAAATGCAATCGTCTCAGCAGCCAACTCAGTGAACTGGTACATCAACCCAGAGTCCCAAGTAGAAGCCGCATGGAACAAATTTAAACAACTTTATGCACAAGTAACTGAACGTTTCATCCCTTGGTCTGTCCCAAAGGGTCAGAGACATTGCCCCCCTTGGATAAACCGAGAGATTCGTAAGTTACTCAGACGAAAACACAGATGTTGGAACCTGTTCGCCACACTTGAGACTCCTGAGACCAGGAAATTATACAACACCACTACGAACAAAGGTATTGCAGAAATCTGCCGAACAAGAATACAGTTCGAAGCACATCTGGCTCAAAATGCAAAAGCCCAATCTGAGGAAATTTTCCCGTACATGAGCTTTGAGAATAAAGCATCCGATTGTGTCCGAAACCTGACTGTTGACAATGACACAACCGAAGATCAAGAAAAAGCAGAAACAATGCAGACGACTTCTCCCAAATCTTCACTCATGAGTCATCACTCTCTATTTGATCAGCTCTGGCCGCATCAGGGGAATAGGAGAGGGATTATGTTGACATCGACTAAGGCATCTTCCTCAACTGCTCATTAAGACTAAATGCAGAGAATTCAATCCGTCTTGATAATCTTCATCCAGGACTTCTGAATGCGCTCTCAGCCCCTTGGTCACGATCTTCAGGCTGTCTCTTTTAAATGGAGTGTTACCACATGACTGGAAAGACGCCATAGTAACGCCATCCACAATGTAGGATGAAGAAAAAGCCCTTCAAATTACAGGCCTATCAGTCTCACCAGCACTTTAATCAAGACACTGGAAAGAATCATCAAGAAAAGCATCATGGAATATCTGGAAAATAGCAGCTTGTTATCTGGAGCACGGCATAGCTTCCGGAGGAACCTCTCATGCCTGCAAATCTCCTCACTGCAAGAGAAAGCTGGGTCAAACCAAAGGACAACAGAAGACCCGTTGACGTCCTCCTCATAGACTTCAGTAAAGCCTTTGATAAGGTACCTCGCAAAAGACTACTCATGAAATTGGAAAGTCTTGGTATCAAAGGCAGATTACTAAACTGGCTCAGTGAATTCCTCATAGATAGGAGGCAGAGGGTTAGGATCATGTCAAAACTCTCCTCCTGAACAGCAGTACGTAGCGAAGTGCCACACGGTACTTGGGCCTCTCCTATTTATTCTGTATATCAACGAGCTACCTCTGCTCACCGACTCCCGTATGGTCATATACGCAGATGACTCAAAAATTTGGAGATAGCTGAAGGGCAACAGTGATCAGTTCACGTTGCAAGAGGACCTCAAAAAATTGTCAGTCGTCCATAAAATGGATGTTCCCGATCAATGTGGCAAAATGTACAACCATGCGCATTGGACAAGCAATCACGCGCTCCTACGAACTAGAGGGAATAACACTCCCATCATTTCAGACTCACTTGCGCTTAGGTATCATAGTTAGCCACGAACTGAAGACTACAGCACACCGTCGCACGGTGGCTGCGCGCGTTTCAGGTCATAATGGGCATTTCGAGGAGCCTTAACTAGAATCATCAGAGATATTTCCACCTCTCAGCATACATCTCTGGTGAGTTCAAGTCTGGAAAACTGTATCTAGGCCGCCAGTCCTCATTTTAAATAGGACTCACGCATTCTAGAAGGCGTTCAAAGGAAAGCGACATGTAACTTTTTCGGTATGACTAATTTTTCATGCGAGGAATGACTAGAGAGTTTAAATCTCTTCTCCCTATCATATAATGGGCACAGAGGAGATTTAATCAATGTTTAAAATTTTAAATAATGACTACAGACCGGACCTATTCTCTCTTTTCCTTCCCACCAGGTCGGAAAACCTTAGAGGACATGGCAGGAAAGTTCAGAAGTCAAAAAGAAATGGCAGTGCAGTTGAGTACTGGTTCCCACACCGAGCAGTAAACTCTTGGAACCGACTCCCAGGAGATCTGGTGTCTGCGACCTCAACTGATTCATTCAAGTGGGGTTTGGACAAGCACGGAAATTTAATAGAAAATGTTTAAAATAGACTTCAAGCCTTGTATCAACAGCCATAAATCTGAAATCTGAATGTGTAAAGTTTCTTCCGTTGTTGAGCTTTATGGTATGAATTCTTAACAAAAGAGTGGAACGAACACTGGCTTGAATAGCGAAGTAACTAAGAGTACGAGTAACTAGATGAATGTTTTAGGAATTTATAACTGCAGTGAAAAATAGATGCCACTACCAAATGACCTTGAACTATCGAAAAATGTCATTCAGAAGCACAAGCACAGTAGTCGTTAAAAGTTTCACTGTGATTTAGAGTTAGAGTAGGTTTGATGCTAGGGTAAAAACTGAGGCGGAATTTATTGACAGCCAAGGAGAAATCATACTGCTGTTGAGTACTGGATCTCACGCCGAGTCATAAACTCTTGGAACCGACTTTTAGAAGATGTCATGTCTGCAACCTCAACTGGTTCGTTCAAGAAGCGTTTGGACGACCACATAAATGTACTAGAAAAGGATTAACATAGGCTCCAAGCCTCCTACTTTCAACCAATAAACCTGAAATCTTAATCTTCTATCCTTGAGCTACTGAGGTTTCTTATTTTTACCACTGATTTGCCATGTCGTCTAAACTATCCGGCCTTTTGTTATTGGAGGTGTGGAATTGTTGTCTAAATACAAAAACGGGAGTACAAAAAATTCAATTCAGCTTTTAATATTTCGACATTGCAATAGAGATCATTTGGCGGTTAGTACGACAGTGACGTAACCACTCAAGGACTCGTAAGTAATAGCACATAGATGTACTGTTTAGAATCTTATTTCACAGTGTTAAACGTGGGAAGGAAATGAGTTGTTTTAGCTGTTCATAAATATCAAGATTCTTCTTATTTAGCATAATGCTGATGAAATCTTTATACACGGACTAGAGTACTCTAGTCGACGTCGAATTCATTTATAATGTGTTTGATAGATGTCAAACCAATATAGTAACATCCTCATAGGTTGGGTGTTATTTTGTGACAGAACATCGTCATAGCGGCTTTACAATGAGTTCTGTTGATAGGAAAGGGGTATTCTGTACGACTGTTTCCCCTCATATCCCATATATCGGTCAACATTTAGATTTCTTTGTCTTAAATATAATTTATCGACACTTTTCTATTGTACGAAGACTTCAATTAGTCTAAAGTTATCTGGTTGACCATTGGTTTTGGCCAGTATTTTTCGTTGGTGCTCGAAAATCGTAGGAGCTCTTTCGGTAAACCTAATAAAAAGCGAATTTTTCTTTCCCCATCATAGACCAAAAGAAAGTTTTGAGCCACATAATTACCAATCACATATTCTGTAACAAACACACTCTATTGTCACTTAGCTGGGAGAAATTCCCCATCAACCTCGGTTTAAACACCTAATAAATTTATATTAATCAGCTTAAAATCCAGGTTTATATTCGTCATTTCAATTAACCTGTTGGAATTCCACACGGTGAACAAGGTATACCAGTGTCGTTTCAAACATTGTCAGCACAGGAGTTTATTCTATTTTCGGATTCCGACCAGGGAGAACTTCCTTTTTCTGTTTACTTCTATCCTGAGAGAAGCCTAGTTGACGTCGCTAATATTATATCCAACTAGCGTCTTCACAAGTCTAACGCAAATTTCTGTGTCGGGCGCCTTGTTGCTGTGAAGCTTCAGACTGTCACCAGACCTCGACAATAAAGTTTATTGGACAAAAACACTTAGCTCATTATCCGATAATTTTTCAGTCTTTTGATAAATGTAATGATAAGACCGATTATGAAGTGTAAACTTCATATATTATGGAGCGAAAATGTATTGTTAGTCGTATTAATTTGCTCATTAAATCCTTGTAGACTATACTCAAACTTGATTACCGTGTCTATATGCAGAAGTATGTCACAGATAATTAAATATTGACCAAAATGAGAGAAGCAGTAAGACAGTTGTCAAAGGAGACCGGATGCATTTGAACTGAGTTATATGGATTTGTGAATTTATTTTACTTGGGTAGAATCATAACTATCTGGTTGGCAAACATTATCCGTATAAACCTCCAGTGTAAGTTACCTGTCCTCATCTCCTTACACTAATTAGGAAATAATGTGAAATGAGATGATGGGCCGCAATGATCAGTTTGGTGCTTGTATTACCTTAAGGTTGAGTACGCCTATGTATCACTGATTTTTCTATTTTTGGCACTTTCGTCGATATTATTCTGGCTGGATAAGCACCATTTCCGAATGTGTCGTTCTGACTAAAACCTGTGAAACATCTGCCTGATGTTAAAGGACAATAACTGTGTATGTTTAACCGCCGTGATTCACATGAAATCACGTACAATGATGAATCTGTCCAAGTTACACTGAGGGCTCATTGGAATGTGTCATAACAACTTAGAGTTTACATTGTAATAAGTAGTATCATAAAGCACCATCATCTGTAGTTTATACGTGTGACTGATGTTCTTACAACAAATTCTGTTTCGACTGTCACATATGAGAAACAAGAGCACATTATATTTGGACTCATCAGGGAAACGGGTGGGAGAAGACAAATCATTAGTGAGACAATCTCGGAAAAAAATGGCACTATAATTAGCTCCCAGGATAGACGACTGGATCGTTGGAAAGAGCATTATGAGGAGCAGTTTAATTTGCCCACAGCCACGCTCAACCTTCCGAGCATCCAACACCTCCCTGAATGGGATATAGACACAGGTCCTCCGTCACTAACTGAGGTTACTAAAGCTGTCACCAATCTGAAACTAGGCAAAGCAGCGGGACCTGATGGAATGACGCCAGAGGTATTTAAGTACGGTGGAGACAGCTTACTGTCCGGATTAACTGAGGTACTAGGCAGCGTCTGGGAATCAGAAGAAGTCCCATCGGGTTGGTGTAAGTCACTGATTATCCCCATATACAAGAAGGGAGACAAGTCTTCCTGTGATAATCACAGAGGGATTAGCTTGACTAATATAGTATCTAAAGTCTTAGGCTCAATAATCATGCGTAGACTGAGTGGTGCTCGGGAAGCACAAACACGAGAGAGCCAGGCAGGCTTTAGACCAGGAAGAGGGTGTATTGATCATATCTTCACCCTCCGACAGATTCTAGAACATAGGCATTCCTACCGGCGTCCAACAGTCATTATATTTCTTGACCTAAAGGCAGCATTCGACTCTGTCGATCGGGAAGTTCTCTGGAGATGCTTGGCTGTAAAGGGAATTCCAAGAAAATATATTGCACTGATTAAGGCACTCTATTCGTACTCATACAGCCAGGTGAGGGCTTACGGCGAGCTGTCATCTGAACTGATGACGACCAGTGGTGTCCGTCAAGGATGCCCATTATCTCCTTTTCTATTCAACTTCATCATAGATGTGTTAATGGACTTAACCCTAGGTGACTTCAGTGACTCAGGGATTGACTTGCTACCGGGGAATAATCTCGTTGACTTGGAATATGCAGACGATATAGTCCTTCTAGGCGAAGACGCTGACGAAATGCAGAGTCTTCTAAACACCTTGAGCCGCAATCTACGAATGTTTGGCATGCGATTCGCTCCCGCCAAATGCAAGATGATGTTACAGGACTGGACTACATCGACGCCTAGTTTAAAAATAGGAAGTGAAGTGGTAGAGCACGTTGACCGCTTCACTTATTTGGGAAGTACCATCAGCCAGTGCCAACGGGCTGATCTCTGACGAAATCTCAGCACGAATACAAGGGGCTCGTTTCGCATTTGTTAGTTTACGCCGACTCTGGCGTAGACGAGATGTTCGACTATCGACCAAAGGGCGGGTGTACTGCTCATCAGTCCGCTCCGTCCTCCTTTATGGTTGTGAGACCTGGCCACTGAGAGTGGAAGACATGAAAAGACTAGCTGTCTTTGATCATAGGTGCCTGCGTTCTATTTCCCGTGTAAAGTGGCATAATAAGGTGAGCAACATGGAGGTTAGGCGTAGAGTTCTAGGTAAACAGGGGAAATCAATCGACGAAGTCGTGAAGCTACAAAGACTGAGATGGTTAGGACATGTGTTACGTATGCCAAGCCATCGCCTCCCTCGACGAGCAATGTTAGCGGATATAGGGTCAGGCTGGAAAAAAGCTAGCGGCGGTCAAACAAAAACTTGGCATCAGTCAATGAAATCCACAACAGTTGGTCTAAGCCACGTAGAAAGGTGTAGACTTCCAGGCTGGGGTCCTCGGGACGGTAAAAATCTATGGTTGGAAACAATTGGTGACATGGCTCAAAACCGTTCTCAGTGGCGCAGATGCATCCACTCCCTGTGACTTATGATCTTCAATGAAACTGTTTTGTATTTCTTTATTACTCCTTTGTCTCACACCTCTGCTCACTGTTTCTATTATGCTTTTCTTGTACTTTCTTCTCTTGCTTCGCGTGCTACACGGAATGTGGCGACTTGAACTTCCGCACATTTGTGCAAAGTTCTATGTCGAAAACAGACAGACAGACAGACATTATATGATACCGTTGTATTTACGAGTGTCTCATTGTTGTAACTTAGTGGCTGACGATATCAGTTGTGACTCAAAGTCAAATCTCGTGTCAGTCACTTTGCTTGTTGTGTCTTCTGTCAAAAAACAACAAAGTAACAAGTCCCCCACCTCCTCTAAATATGCGTAATGAGCATAACTTCTTGTTCATCCTGCTCTTTAACTGTCTTTTCGTAACAGTTTCTTTTTGTACATATCTGAATAAGTGTTTCCAAGGAATAATTAAGTATTTGTGACTGTGTATAGTACATTTAACAATTCTTTTCATTGAAACTTCTTTGGTATTTAAATACATTCCTTTTGATTTGACACTAGTAACTAGTGTGCCGTGTAGTCCTCTAATTGGTGCCGACTGAATTCTATCAGTCAGGTTGTTATGTGGCCTCCATTCTAGGTAGCTCGCCATCATAGTGCACATTGATTTGATGATATTAGATGGTTGGAGGCAATCGGATACAGGAAGCCTTGGACCTAGGTTTCGTGCTAGTTGGCACTCACTAGTCAGCAAGGCGTATCTGTAACTTTGACGACAACCATCTAATATCATCAAATCAGTGTTCACCATGATGGTGAGCTACCTGGAATGGTGGCCACATTAAAACCTTTTTTTGTTAGAATTCAGTCTGCACCAATGAGAGGATTAGACCCATCACACCAGTTACTAGTATCAAATCAAAATATCCACTGCAGTCCTACAGGAGGTCAATCGTGAGCCCGAATAGCTCAGTGGTAACGTCTCTGACTGCAGAGCTGGGTGACGCGGGTTCGAATATCAGAAGGGGCATGAGTTCCTTCAATGTTGCAGATACGCCTTGCTGACTGGTTTTCGATGGGGCCCTTTTTGGGGCGTTTTTGCTTTTTGGTCAGACCGACGGCTTTCCTTGAAAACCCAGGTCGGACGGGTTAGGGGGGCACCACCCCCCGACCATCCTGAGGCTTTGGAGGCCTGACTGGTGAGTGCCAACTAGCATGAAACCTAGGTTCAAGGCTTCCTGTGTCCGATTGCCTCCAACCATCTAATACACTGTTTTTATTCACTCTTTCTTGGTGAACTATACTTAGTCAACAACATACTCAGTGGATCTTGTTCATCAGAGAGATTTTCTTTTCCTTACAGCTTCCATTGCTGTACTTCATACTTACCTACGCTTTATTGATGTTAGCTCAGACAGGTCTTCAACTAGTCAAAGAATTAAAACGTTCACAGGAAAGTAATCTACCCCCGTATAATGAGGATAAAATTCGGACATGTCTGGAAGAAATGAAAACACTCTATGATGCAAATTATCGTGATGTGGCTTTTGTGTCAAGTTCAACATCTGAAGCTGCGTCATCATCATCGCTATCTGGAACAGAAGAGCACAGTAATAAAATTCAATCTGTTCTAGTCAGACATGCTGTTCTTGAGAGGAATAAACGTTGCCTTCTTGCATACCATCATGCTAGATTAATGCAAATAAAAGAATTTCGTTGGGAACATGGTATTATTTTGCCTAAAGGTAATTATCAAGCTGAAAAAATTGTTTTTTATGAATTTATTGACAAAAGATAAGTAGTTCAGCGAAGAGTCTCTTTCGCCGGCGAATTCATTTTCATAGCTGTACAATCACACACATATATGGTTGTTTTGTTTGTGTGTGTGTGTGTGTACATTAAATTTGCCAAACGAAAATACAATTAGTAAGTGGAGATGAATTTGATGTTGATAAGAGGATATTAACAAAAGTGATGAGTTGTCATAAATGATTGTTAAATAAGAGTTACGTGATGGCGTGAATAGTTTGATAAAAGAGTGACGTCCTCAGAAGGAGAATTTCCACCTCTTTAGGAAAAACTTTCCCTGCGGTAACATTAAGAATAGTGTTCTCCAGCCCCCCGCTGACCCACAACTGATCACTTCTGTGTATATATCAGTACACCTGTTGCTGTGGAGCTAGGTACATCGGTCGTTCAAGGCGCATCCTGTCAAAAAGGGTCAAAGAACACTATCCAGCGTGGCCGCAGAAAGGAAGTAATGGCCGTATAAGGAGTGCAATAATCGAACATCTCGTCAACACTGGTCATTCCATCCCAACGAATGCCTTCTACTTCAAAGTAATCTACAAAGTGAAGAACAACCTTCCAAAGACAATACGATTCCATCTTCTTTGCATCGCAGAAGCTCTAACTAACCATTCAGTTGGAGGAACCAGAACTGTGCATACACACGAAAATTATTCAACCGCCTCTACTCTCATGGTAACAACTCCGTTGATTTGACTTAACTTTTGTTTGTTTAATTTGACCTTACTTTTGTTCGTATGCTTATTTCTCTAACTACTTGAAACCCTTGTGTAATTCTGTATATTATTTTGTTTCCATGTAAACTCTAAGCACAACTCTTTCATCAAACTATTCACGCCATCACGTAACTCTTATTTAACAATCATTTATGACAACTCATCACTTTTGTTAATATCCTCTTATCAACATCAAATTCATCTCCACTTACTAATTGTATTTTCGTTTGGCAAATTTAATGTACACACACACACACACAAACAAAACAACCATATATGTGTGTGATTGTACAGCTATGAAAATGAATTCGCCGGCGAAAAGAGACTCTTCGCTGAGCTACTTGTCTTTTGTCTATTAATGTTTGAATGGGAATTGTTCATGTATTAATTTATTGTTTAAAAGTGTGTTCAGTCCAAATTAAATAAGTTTATTTTAAAATATCACAGAGATGCAGTATTAACAACTGGATGACGTTTAGAGCACAATTTACTGCTCATAATCATATCAGTCAAGTCACACCCTTTCACAATTTGTCTTATGTATATATATATATATATATATATATATATAATATATATAATTTTTCTGTCTCTCCAACTTCACTTTGTTGTTTATTATCACTTTCCATACCTCCAGCATAGGCGTTGCGTCTTCCAGCTTGCACGTGTGGGGTGTGGACTCGATCAACATTTCTGTCTCTCAACGTAACTACATTACTTTTTAATACTGTTACACTTCTCTGCCCTATTTTGTGATTACATGCAAGTGAATGCAGTGCGATGGCTGAGCTTTTTTCTAGGCTATTTAACTTGGCAGGGTTAATTATTGTATGTTTAGCTAAATCCCAATGTTTCAATAATCTAGTTGACCCCGATCTACTAGTTTGAACTATGTATTGACCTCTCAATCATTACATGGTATTTAGTAAGTTATATTATTTTTCATAATTGAATCTGTTGGGTCCTTAAGCCGATAAAGTTTATCTCTGAGAGAGTTGGTTGGTTGGTTTAAATGCCGCCCTGATTTCAGCCACATTGAGAATTCAACGTAAGGCCTCTCACGTTCCTTCTTTGGACGACAGTACTACAATACCTTTGAATTCTATATTATTTCCATTATTTTCCTCATTTTTTATTACTCATCCTAGTTTTTATATGGTTTATGTGTCCTTGAATAAAATCAAGTCGGTAGTTATTCATTAGTAATACTTGCTTTATTTGTTTATTTCATTATTTAAATCTTACTAGTTAGGCTGTTGGCCCGATTATACAGACATTTAATTTAAAACTATCTTCCTTTACCGATTCTCGATGGGATGAATTAAAGTCTAAGTATATATTAGAGTGTGTTGGTTTCCTATAAATGCTAGTCTCTAACCACCCATTATCCTGTTTTCGTCTTATTCTACAGTCTGACATGGCCAACTCACCCTTTTCGTTTTCTAACGCATAAGTAAATTGGATTCCGTCTACTATTGAGTTTATATGTGTGAGAAATTGACGGATGTGTTCAAATTTCAACCCAGTGAATGTATCATCCACATATCTCCACCATGACCTAGGAGTATAATCAAATGTTCTAAGCACTTTATGTACCCAACCATCCATAAATATGTCTAATGGCGATGAGCCACACACACCTAATATATTCCGGCATTAAATAACAGCCACATTATATAACAGTGAGCAACGATCTGGAAAGCTTTGTGTCCTAATGGAAGTAGGAGGATGGCTATTACTTCCCGGTTGCACACATAACAGAAATTGATTTTTTTGGCTACCTGAAATAGAGGTATTAGTGTTGCATGGTTGCAAAGCCCTGGGGACAAATGCCTAAGTCTGGTTACACATGGCTTGTTTTAGTTGACTTTGGGATCTTATGGCGGGCTATGGACTGCCGCATAAAATCATGAAAGTGCAATTTCATTTGTATTTAACTTTAAAGCCCGAAGTCTAGATATGACTGTGAAGCAACATTTATTGTCATAGGCTAGCAATGAAGTCTGAAGCCGTTCAAACAAATTTTACGATTCCATAATTTAATGTCAAACATCTAAATCATATACTACATGTATCATTACGTGAACACAGTAAGCGTCGTTTTTAAGGTATACTGTACGCAGGACCCAGGATCTTCTGGTTACAAGGCGAGCTCGTATACTATTAAGCCACTGAGACCCGATCCAATGGCCCATGAATTCTAACTTCTGCTAATTCACGATATAGCGCAACCGCTAGCCAATGTCTTCGGCGGGTATTTGTCCTCACACTCGACCTGCTGCAACCTACTGGTCATGACTTCCCACTGGAACCCCAGGTAACTACCTACCTGAATAGGGCCAGTCTCTAGTGAGCATCTCATTGATATTCAAGTATTGGTTTTGTAGGGATTTGGTTGATTGGTTATAGGATTTCATCACGAGCTGACATTATTTAGAGAACCATTGGAAAACTTGGGAGTACTGGACAGCTGTTTCGTCCTAGTTTGGGGCTCTTCAGGAGTACTCACTCATCGGGGCTCGGAACCAGGACCTTCTGGTTAAAAGGCGAGCTCGTATACAGTTATCTTTCAGGTATCCAAGGTTGTATAACTTGCGTTTGCATTTGGCATTTTATATACTGAATAAATAACAGGCGTTTTGCTATACATAATTGTAAGTGGGAAAAAAGAAAACGGATTAATGAAATAAAGATTTATTCAATTATTCGCATTAAAAATTAATTAAAAAATAATAAGGACTTCGGAAATAATAAGGGTAATTTTATTGTTATTAAAACACAGACTTGGTACATTATGGATACCAAGAAATGCGCCACACAAAATCGCATAGTTTTCTACGAGAGCTGACAGACAGCCCTCTTGGACGCTTAGAACGATGTTAGTAGTTGAATTTTAAAGTGCTATTCTCACTTTGAGCCTTTCAATGAAGTCTGTTCCACAATCTATTTCAGCAGCGTCATGAGCTACACTCCCATGGTTACCAGTGACCAAAACAGGTTCATATGTCATTCGATTCTTTCGGATTCTGAAGCCCATCTTCACCATAAGTTTGGAATCAGCATTTTCCAGCTCCGCTAGGTAGACTTCTATCTCCTTCAGTCGGGTTGTAAGCACTGGACGTTCTTATTTGCCCTTTCACTTTTGTAAGGAACACCACCATCATTTGAAGGAGGTGAAAAACACTTTCCTGATAGAGGTTATGAACTCGTGGCCACATGTGAGCATTTTTAGGGAAAGACTGGAGTTTGCCCACTCTTGGTCGTATTATGCCATTTCTTTTGGGGGGGAGAGAGCGAAAATAATAGGAAGTGGCACTGTGAATGATTTTCATCCATGTTGTCAAATATCTCTCACCATTCATTCTTAAAATCCCTAGGCCAATAATCGGGTAATCTGTATCCTTTAAAGTGACTGAAATAAACGGCCATAGTCTCCATAGAATATAGCCAAACTTTTCTCTGAGCAACCACTCCTAACATTCTAGCATTGGAATCCACCACATTCTAATATGGGACTCAAGATCATTTGTGCCTGCGTTCCAATGAGTGTAGCAGCGTTCTCATTGAACCTCAAATCCAGCCACTCTAAAGCCGTCTTATCGCTTGTTACAAGAGTCACATTTCATTAAATGGTTAATCTTTGTTATTTCATTGAAACTTATGGCTTTTCATTATGCGGGTTTCTGAAAATTTTTATTTCAAATTTACCATCTGGCTTTCTTTTCACTAAACAGTCTAGAAACGCCGAATCAGTCTCGTCGGACTCGACCTCTTTGCAAAACTTTATGGCTCCTTACATATTATTTATTAAGTGAAAAAGGTTATTCAACAAACTATATCTGATTATGACGAAGGTATCATCCACGTATCTTAACCACATTTTTGGAGGACTAGAGCACCTCATAATTGAATTCGTTTCTAATGAGTGCATAAACAGATTGGCGACTAGTGGAGATACTGGTGATCCCATGGCAATGCCTTCTGTTTGACGGTAAAGAACTCCTCTCTAGATGTAAATAACGTGGAGCGTAGACACAATTCCAATGCCTTCATTATTTCGTCTGGATTTAAAGGACAACGATCTTTGAGTTCCTCGTCAGAACAAAGTAAATTATAAATAATACTTAAAGAATCATTAACAGGAACATTCGTGAATAATGAATAAACATCGAAACTTGCCATTACTTCATCTTCTTCAATATGAATCAAGTTGATTTTTCTCTTAAATTCATACGAATTCTTCATTCCATGTTCCACTTGCATTTCACATGGGCTTAGTATTCGATAAATGTATTTAGAGAGTTTGTAGGTCGGAGAATTAGTAAAATCGACAACTGGACATAATGGAACTTCTGGTTTCTGTATTTTGGTAATCCATAAAATCTTCAGAGGCTGCAACTTTTTGAAGCCAGAGTAAACCAAAGTGATACACCGAGTTTCTCTTTTGTTGACTGTAAAATTTTGCTTTTTTCAGCCTTCAGCTTATTCAATGTCGCCTTTGACTTTCTCATGTCAAATTTTTCATAACGTCCGACATTAAAATGATCAATAGCCTTCTTTTCATAATCTGCAGAGATCATGACAACCGTGATTATTACCTTTATCTACTCTTATAATGACAATCGATTTATCTTTCTGTAGTTGTTTTAATGCCAGTTGTTCGCTTTTACTTATATTCGGCTCATTTGGCTTCTGATTTAGTAGTACCTCTGTAATTTTGTGTTTTATGACGTTTGCCTTTTCGGCTGTCACAGAATTTAACGATAGTTCAATTGCTGGAATTATTTCGCAGGCTGATAACCGCCTTTTGTTTAAATTAAAATTAAGTCCCTTTTTAAGGAGGGATAGTTCATAATTAGATAAATTTCTGTCTGAGAGATTGAACACGACTCTGTTCGTATCCAGAAAGTTATGACTAGACGAATTTTCAAAATGATGGTATTTAGAAATAGAGTTTAGTTGAGACATCCTGTCGATCTTTTTGATTTGTCTTCTTTTTGAAGAATAAAGATCATTAGTCATTTCAATTTCACTGAGATTTTACAAATATAATTTTTTAAGATTGCAAGTGGTTGTTGAGTAACTTTATAAATTATTCTATTTATAGTGTATACATGTCTGTAAGTATGTTATGTGCTTTGCACCTTCTAAGTGCAAAGTACTGTTACAAGATTGGCAGGAACCTGTACCTGCATTCACTCTTGCAGGTGAACCGCTTGAAGTTATCGAAAAGTTTGTGTATCTGGGTAGTTGTGTGAGTGCTGTCGGAGGGGTGACGGATGAGATTTCCAACCGTATAATGAAGGCTAGGGTGGCATACATCAACTTGAGCCACCTTTGGCGCCGTTGTAACGTTAGCCTGACTGTCAAAGGTCGGGTAAACAAAGCTTCGGTGCGGGCTGTCTTGCCTGTGAAACCTGGCCTCTCCGAGCTGAGGATATGCGGCGGCTCTGCATATTCGATCGTCACTATCTCCGCAGGGTCTATTGCTTTCAGTGACATCATCGCTTGAGTAATTCTGAGGTTCGGTGGCGTGTGTTTGAACACAGTAGAGATCACCATTCATTGAATGTCGTCATCTGGAAACACCAGATTCGGTGGCTTAGACATGTGCTGCGAATGTCATCCCAGATGCTTCCGTATAGGTCTCTGTTTGCTAGCCTGGGACGGGATGGAAAAGGTGGAGGGGTGGTCAGTCCATGACGTGGCGTCGTGGGATGAAGGATATTTGTGCTAGATTAGCATCGGTCGGTGCGTCCTGACCCCCCCCTAGTTGGGGTCCGAGAGATAGTTTGAATCGATGGCTCGAAACGTTATCGCATAAGACCAAGAATCGTAATCAACGGTGAACGTGTTGCAGTTTCCTTCGTTCTTCCCTTCCGGATGATAGTTGACAAATACTGTTTGAACTTGTTAAGTATGACTGTTTTCCTTGCTGACGAAGTTATTTTTCCCGTTCTCCACCCATATCTTTACTTTTAATCTATGTTGCTCTTTTATTAGTGTGTGGAGCATCCTCTTGGTGCCATATTTTACCAAGTTTTTTCTGCGTTTTTCTTTTTAATTCCTTCTCTATGCCTAGATATTCGTGATAGTTTATCAGAGCCTGAACAAGCCTGGTATAAACAATATTGTAGTTATCTAGCCAATTTTATGCAATCAGATACATCAGAACGTGGTGGTGGTGGACTCCTGGATTTGACACAGTATCGTACACCACCGAAAGACATGTTTCTTGAAGTTCGTTGTATACAAGATTTTGGTGAATTCGAGACAGAAGATGGTAGTATTCTACAGTTAACAAAAGGCAGTCATCATTTAATGCATAGAACAGATTGTGAAGCGTTAATTCGTCAAGGTGTACTAGAACATATATCAGAATAAAGGCGAGAAATGCCTTTCTTATATACGTATACCATTTTTTGTTATAACATTCATTGTTTGTATATACTTTTTTTAATATATCTATTTTGTATTTTTATAATGTCGTCTGCTGTCTTCATGTTTTTTTTTTCGTATCTCGAAACCATGGTGCTGATATACGCTAAGGTTTACACAAGATGAAATGGAATAAAACATAATAGTTGTCCAACAATCACGTAACTAATTAACTGTCTGGGTTTCAATGTAGAACTTTGTACAGGAAGGCACCAGTTCAGGTTGCCGCATTAACATACAATGAGGACCTATTCAAGTAATGGTTTGTAGGGATTTGATTAATAGGTAACAGGATTTCATCATGAGCTGACATCGGTTAGAGAACCATTGGAAAACCTGCAGGGTGTACGAGCTCGCCTTGTAACCAGAAGATCCCGCGTGCGTACTGATGAAGAGTCCCAAACTAGGCTGACGAAGCAGCTGTCTGGCAGTACTCCCTGAAGGTTTTCCAATAGTTCTCTAACCAATTTGATCTCACAATGAAATCCTGTGTAACCGATGAGGACTTAATACATCGGAGAGATTACAACGAGTGATCGTATCTGCGCCACTGAGGACGATCATGAGTTATATTATATCATGGGAAACTAAGAGACTGGTTAACGCAATCGAAAAACCAAGGGAAAAAACACATCATATCCCTACATTCTTAGCCACATCAAAGTTTGGTTCGGTCAGAGGAGAATAAATTGTTCTGATTGGTTGTCAATCGGTGCAAGGTTAAACAAATTGTCCATTGAGGTTATTTCATGTCCACAACGTAGAATAAATCTAGATTTTCGAGGAATAAACACGTCTACCTCTGTAACCAGCCATTGACTTAAAATGTTGGTTTCATTTTTGGCCAATTTCTATCAATCTGCATCACACCACAATATCACTAACAGTCTCCATCCATTTGGTTCTTAACGTTTCTATGCGACATGTTAGGATATTCAGGGAACATTCCTTCAGCCCAGCGTATCTCATTAGTTTATTGTAACTTGCAAAGTCGACTACAGTGTCAAGCTATCAGTCACGTAGAATTTTTTTTATATTTTTGATTGCAGCTTGATTCCACACTGTATTTTTGGTACAAGTATGAAATTTTCAGCATGGATATCAGTAGCCCAAATTTTGCAGGTCGACCATAGATATCATCAGGTGTGCGTCAGCAGTGGATCGAACCTCGAACCATGTGTATGGTCGGCGAGAGTCCTAACCACTGTGCCACCGACGCACAACCCGAAACCAAAAACGGAGTGCTTAAACTAATAAGGGACATATTTCACCACATTCAAGACTACAGAGGAAATCCTGGACAATTACACCAATCAGCCATCATCCTGTATCATATTTTTCACAAGCGAATAAAAAAGGAAAGTACCAGCTATACTAATAACAATACCTAAATGGTTATTTATTTAAAAATATCAACACCAATGGGATGTTTGATATACCTGTGATCGATAAATTTGTTATAATGACCCTATGAAGTCAATTTGTATGCACACCACGAGTGCAGGCTACTCCTACTGACTTTAAGACTGATAGTCTAAAGCCTTGCTTACAACATTGTTTAAACGTTAGAAAGTAACAAGAGCAGGAAAAAAATGTCGCGGAACACAAGCACACTTGATCCTTTGAGTTGTTTCGTCACCTGATTACTCCAGTGAATTGCTATTTAATGCAACTCCATATTAGTTTGTTTATTAGATGTATCACACAGTGATGAAACAGTATTATTTACTGGATGACAATTAGAAACAAGCTTTGTCGGTTAAAAGATCAATCCCGTGGAGCCTTTAAAACAAAACAATTTAGTTTATCTAATACCCTGCTTGCAATGATTGTCAGGTCAAACTAGTAGAACGGGGTCAGTCAGTCAGACTAGTGGAGCGTAAAAGCTTAGCAAAATCTAGATTAGTTGACCCGAATAAGATAAGAAATCTGGAGAATAGTTCAGCTATAGCTCTACACCACATGCACACACAACCATACAATAGGCTGGATGGGATAGGATGACAGCTTTAAAATCTAATGCAACTAACATGGTGGAGGGAGAGATAGATAACAGGAGCTTTGTTTATCGAATTAACTGCAAACATGTGTAGTGGGAATGATTTAACACCTGTCCACGCAGATATCTGGAAAATTCTACTACCACGCCTACGACGACAAATAGGAGAGGACAAAGAAAACTATAAAACTCTCGAGTTTCGAAATCGTGTGTTATTATAATTGATGAAATGATTATGCACCGCAATAAATTTTATTCGAAACTTTGTCATCCAGTAAATAAAAATACTGTTTCACTGACTATGTGATACATCTAATAGACAAACTGATATGGAATTACTTACTACCACAGTGCCCAAGGTTGACACATATATATTTAACGCACCTATATTACGTAAATAACAAAGGGTATCGAAGAAAATATTCTTTTCAATAAATTCATTCATAGTGTTCTAAATTGTCAATGGGGAAATACAGGTGAAAATCAATTATTTGTGTCAGTTGATAGCGAAACAATATGAAATTATACATATAATAATAATAATGATTTACTTTATTCCAAAACAGTACTTGTGATACAGAATGGAATTTTCAGCATTAATTACAATATTGCATCTAATTTCCTCAAATTATAAATAAAAATTAATCACACAGAAAATTTTCCACATTTACAATAGAGGTATTGTCAAAAACATGCAGCATATAAAATGGAAATAGCAATAATAATGATAACAGCTAGGGTAATAATAATAAGAATACAAGTGAAAATTGCCGTTGGCTTGTTTCACACAGTATTGGCAATGTGGTATAGAAATCCTAACATGTTTAAAAATATTGAGTATAATGTTCTCTTTACATGATATGGTGAGGGGAAAAACAAAGAATACATCAGTCATAGAGATAAGTTGGTGTCTGCAATTATGAGAGTAAAACAGAGAAGTAACAGGACCATGAATATAATAGAAGTAACAAAAGTAAAACTTGAAGGTATATAAGGATGGATGGAGGAAATTGTTTATTTACTAGATGAAAAAAGGTTAGTTAATTCTTGCCTGACACTATTTTCATCACATAAAATACGTGGCAAGTATGGTATCATAGAATTTCTAAACTTAGATGTGCGAGCATACAGTTTTATGAAGTTACTCCTTGTTCTACCTGAGGAGATGCAAGGTGAAAGCTGAGGGTAAAGCGGATGCTCCAAGTCAGACAAAATCCCTTTAGCAAATTTATTGCATGAAGTCAAGTGCCTATCGACAACGACGTTAACTATGTGGTCCACTGGGACACCACTCACCCTACTGACAGTCTTCAGTATTCTACGAATTGTGACATAGTCCTTTTTAAGCAAACCAGGAAAGAATAAGGGTGAGCAATAGAGAAGAATAGGTAGGATGCAAGAGTTTATGAACTGTAAGAGGAAGGGTTGAGTTATACCCGAGTGTCTTAACTTCTTAATGTAAATGTCAGGCGGAATATTTTACTGGAGATTGCTAGTACATAGGAAGACCAGGGGAGATCAGAAGAGAGAATGAGTCCAAGATACTTAATTTCTGATTTGATTCCTATATCATTGTCGTCAATTTTACAAGTGTCATGAGAATCGATGACTTCTTTTAACTGTCGTTTACATCTTAAGCTGAAATCAACAGTTTGACACTTAGAAGGATTCAGTTTAAGACCGTTAGACTCAGACCACTTGCTGACTTCCGATAGAAAGCTATTTATTTTAGTACAATCTAGCTGGGAGTTAACAGCCATTGAAACCGTTAAATCATCAGCGTACTTCACAAAGTTTATTTCATCAGAGTGAGGCAAGTCATGCAAGAAGAAAGAAAAAAGAAAAGGAGAAAGAACAGCACCTTGAGGGACACCAGCTTCAGTAGGCAATGAAGTGGAAGACTACCCTTTATATACGGTGTACTGCTTTCTATCTGAGAAATAGGAATGCAACCAGTTAACAGCCCAACATTCTGTTTGACTAGCAGCAAGTTTATTTAATAAGATGTCCCAAGGGACCGAGTCGAAAGCAGATGTATAGTCTAGGAAGGCACAACGAACAAATTTAGCCCCCTTGTCTAGACTGGAAGCAATGTTATGATATAAGACGGCAGCTGCATCTAAAGTGCTTCTACTGTGCTTATAGGCAATTGTTTAGGGTCATTAAAGGATTTAAGCGAAGGTACAAGACTAAGCAAAAGTAATTTCTCCATAGTTTTCAAAAAAGGAGAGGTAATAGCAATGGGTCTAAATTTGACACATGCTCCAGTGGATGATTTAGGTATGGGTACAACTTTAATGAGGAAGAAAAGATCGATGAATTACAAAACTCAGTTAACTAGTCTTACGCACTGTAAAAATACTAACGTTAGTTTTCAATATTCTCTCCTAATTTTATATATACGCATGTATTATATGACTACTTATGTCTGTATGGCTAGTGGAAATTTCCCGTCCCATTCATTCCCTCGCAAGTGTTATCTATCTTATCGTATCTGCGCCAGTAAATTTTAGCATGAATGTTATTTACTCAGTTAAGAGATTCGTTTACTTGACACTAAACTTAGTTCTTAACTTGCCTTTGTGAAAATCATCTGTAGTTTTTCTGCTGTGTGTAGTTTTGTTGAATGCAGCACTTTATGTCACTTTATATAGTCACCATCAGAATACTAACAGTTGTGTTATCATTACGATCGTAATTCAGTTTTAGGCTGAACATTAGTGACTTCTCTTGTTATGTAAAATACGGGATTGACTTCAATGATAATACGTCAATAAAGCTAATGCTTTGTAGTCTCCTCAACGTAATAGTTTTATGCAAATTTCCTAAAAATGAACAAATGATTCTGTCTTGTGTGTAGATCACTTCTATATGGTTAGCCAGCACTACTGCTTTACCTGAGTGTGGTATCCGACTACTTATATCAATCGGTCAGTAGTATAAAGAGTGACAAATGATTCCCTTATGTCGACTTGCTTTAAGTCATTCATATATCTCTTTTATCATGCTTTCATCGCATATTAGGACTCTCGCTGACTATACAC